CACTTGCTTGACAAGAGGCATGGGTTAAAAAACCCAGTGAATTGAGAGAGGATGGGGATAGGGATTTGTACTTGATATGGGCCCCATCTGAGGGTTTGAAACACCAGTTACACTATCTCCTCTCTCCACTGTTGAATGTCAGAGCTAACTTTGATTCCATTAAGAGTCTAGTTAGAGACTGCTGACCTGAATTCACTTTGGGCCAATGGTGCACTAGCACTGGGGCTCCCCTACTATGAGCTGAAATTGCTAAGAGCTGAAATCACAAAAGAGCTAAAGTTATTAAGAGCTGACATCACCGAGTGCTGTGTTAACTAGTGGGGGAGCCTGAAGCTATATTGCTAAGCAGCTGGCAGAGCAATTTGTGGGGATGACTGGAGGAGTGGTGTGGAGCCTTGCGGGGCCAGTTGGCGCGGCCCAAGGAATGGCGAGTGGACCTGTTTGTGGGGACGGCTGGAGCGGCTCACAGGTCGGGGAGCGGAGCAGCTTGTAGAGCGGAGCAGTTTGTGGGACGGCAGGAAGTGGACTGGCTCATGGTGAAGGCTGTGGCGGAACCCCACGGAGGGACAGCCAGCCGGCCTCGGATCACATAAGGTGCCCCTTAACACCCTGTGTGCCCCCCCACTTTTACTCTGGGGCTGCACTGACCAGGGGCAGAGACTTTGGGGTCTGTTGGACTTTTGGGACTTTGGGTGGTTGCTGGACCCAAGAGACTTTGGGGGTGTTGGACTTCGGGGACTCTGGGTGATTTTTGGGTTGCTGGATTCAAGAACCAAAGGGAAAGGACACGGCCCAATTTTGCTCATGGTTTGTGTTAGGAATCCTGTTTGTGGTGTTTTTCCAATTTAATGCTGATGTCGTTTACCTCATGTTATTAAACATTTTCTGTTACACTCAGACTCCGTGCTTGCGAGAGGGGAAGTATTGCCTCTTAGTATTGCCCAGGGGGTGGTATGTAATTGTCCCAGGTCACTGGGTGGGAGCTCGAGACGGTTTTGCATTGCGTTATTGAAACGGAACCCCTAGATACAGAATCCAGCCCTTGTTGCTGCCAACTTAGATGGGCAGAAGGGTTACACACAGAAATTGGGGGAGTGGTAAATAATGCAGAGGACAGGTCACTGATACAGAGCAATCTGAATCGCTAGGCCTCTTCACCCCGAAAGCAGTCACAGATCACTGATATAATTAGGATGGGTCTATACATATGTATTGTTTTTACTGTTATATTTATTAAGATTTTTTTGTAACCATGTTTGCCCCTGTAAGCACAAAATAAATGTAACTGCATAAATAAAAAATTGTATATAACTGGTCACTATGACACCATACTTTTGAAGCAGTTTACCAGTCTTCCTGGTGCCATTAATAAATCTCTCTAGTACTGTCTGTGCTTGCCTAATTCTTGGGGAAAAGAATCTTTTTGCCTAACACTATGGACAGATTTCACGATGACAGAAAGGGGCCATGACCGGGACACACTGCAGCGTTTCACTGTGGTCAGCACCTCTGTGAATGCCACAAACAATCTCGTGTCATAGCTACTACATGTGGCGAGATCAATGTCACACTTCTCTTGCCTTTGTAGTTTAAGGAAAAACTCCACTGCCACTCGTGACATGTTATTCAGAGCCAGTAGCATATTGGTCAGCAGTGCGGGATCCATTCTTGCAGCCAGAAGAAGCAGGGCGCGCAGAACACAAACCGTTGAAAAATGGCGCCAAATGCGGACGGAAGCACAGGGATTGCTGGGACGCGAAGCAATGCATTATGGGGCATTGGGACAGGATCCGGGATGCCCTGCGATCCCTTTGCCTTCCCACAATTCTTAGCAGCAGAAGAGGAAGAGATGCTCAGTGGGAATAGCTGCCCTGAGTGCACTGCTCCAAATACTGCTGCAAGTGCCTCAAGTGTGAACACGCTATTGCGCAGGCAGCTGATGGTGTGAACACACAACCGCAGTTTCCCTTCAGCGCTCTCTGAGCGGTGATGGAACCGCCGGTGATGTAACTCTGCCAGTGTAGACATACCCTTAGACAGGCACATGCAGCCCTCTGGGACGTATTTGTGCCTCCTTTCCAACTGAGACTGAGCTTGTGATCGTGACTCTTTGGTGAATCTTTCACACACTGGCCCTGGGGAAAGCCCCTGCACCTACAAACTGCATCAGGTGCCTTTAACATCTGCACACGGGAAAATGAGCTTCCTGCTTTTAAAGGGGACCTGCAAAGAGTTCTTGCTTCTTTACGATGGATAGGGAGGGTCTGAACAGTCTATGGATTTATTTTTCTTGTTTCCTATTTACCCTGTAAGTATCAGGAATGTCGAGTCTGCTCTGCCCTGGGGTCTCTGGAGGACTGGCTGGGTATCCCACAGTATGTACATTAGGCTCTCACACCTTGGTTGACTGGGGATAGACCGTTCACACAGATCGCCTTTCCCCACAGTGTTCATTGGTCCATGGAATTAAGCAGATGGTAACAAAACACAAACAGAACAAGCAAGAGTTGTAAGGAGTCGGACAAGCTATTCCTCCCTCTCTTAGGCCTTGACTTATAAAAGCAATTTAGTTCAACCCATGCAAGCAGGTAGAGGTGCTCCTGTCGGTCTGAGAGAAGAGTTGATTCTGGTTTAGCTTCAATTCCTAATTGATTGAACCTAAACTAAAATAACCCTCCGTCACACCACAATAAGTGCATCCACACTGGGGTTTTCACAGGTGTAAGTAAACTGGTTTAAAAAACTAACTTCAGTTGAATTGGTTCATTTTTATGTAGACGCGTGTAACGAGGGCAGCTCTGCCAGGCGGGACTGGAACCCGGGGGGCTGTCGCTGACGCTGCCTGACCCAGGGTTAAAGCCAAACCCCACAGCAATGACCGAAGGCCTGGGGAAGGAGACAGAGCCACGGTCCCAGAATCTGGCTGCTCTAAGGATGCAGAGGAGCCGTGTATGGAGCAGCAGCAGGGCAGGCACAAAGCGACAAAACAGCCTCACAAAGACATGGCAGGTTTATTATTTTGTTTTACACTGAACCTGGCTCTCCGGGCAGGATGGGCAGCAAACCCCAGGGGTCCCCACTGCCGCCAATGGTCCCCGCGTGTGACAGACAGCTGGGATCACACGGGCCGGTCTGGAGGCTGAGAGATGGGAGAGCAGGTGGGATGTTTGCAGAGCGAACGGGGAGGCGTTGGCTGAAGAAGGTGCTAAGGGGGATACTGCAGCCGGTTTGGGGAAGAGCAGCATCTGAGCCGAGGTCTGTCCGTGCCCCCTCGATCCTGGGGTGTCGGCTGCTGGCGCGGGGCTCTCGGGACGGAGGGGAGGGGGCTGCCCAGCAGGGGTGGGGGCCTCATTGGGAATTTCCCATCATGTTGGTGTCAGGGGCTTTAAACAAACACAAACATCCCTTGAGATGGGACCGAAATCACCCCCCCCCCACGCAGACACCTGTAGACATGGCCCCCCAGAACTCTCTTAACACCTGATAAGACTGTCCCCTCAGAGTCACCCCCCAGCCTGAAGACAGATTCCCTTGTGTCCCACATAGACCCTTTCCCCCAGATGTCTCTCCCCCCCACACACATGGTCCTGGTGGGTTCCATGCTCCCAGCTCCCACTCCTTTGCCGTCTACAACACACACAGACCTCTCCGGCCCATGGACTCCCCCCACCCATAAAGTTTTGGGGACTGGAGTTATGTGTGGGTGCATCAAACCTACCTGAGCCGCAGGGGGCGCTGTACTCAGCCTCTGTGTGTTCACCTGCAACAGCAAGGGATGTAAGGAATGGAGGAGAGACCCAGTGGGGGGATGAGAACCCCTCCCCCTAATCCCACAGAGGCAAAGTCTGTTACCCCAGCCCCAGGGGATCCCTGCTGTAGGTCTGAACCCTAGAAGGGAGTGAGAGGTCGCCCCCAGCTGTCTGAATGGGGCTGTGCGCTCTCTCCCATCCCCCATCTCCAAGTAAGTCAGATGGGCTTCATCACTCGCCGCTCCAGGCACCCAGGGAAACCATCCTGCCACCTCCTGGGCCCAGCACAAAGGGTTCTGGGGGCATCTGAGAAGCTTGATGGTAGAGGAAATGTGGGGAACCCGAAAGGGGGTGTGTGACAAAGTGGGGGATTTTCTTGTTTTTTCCTTGGTTTTCCAAAGGTTTGCATGCAGAGGGAGTGGGACTCAGTGTCCCTGGGTGTTACTGGTTTAATGAGGTGAGGGGAGAGGGAGTTCGTTGTTCCAGAGGACCCGAGAGGGACCTTGGGACCCCAGCCGATGGGCTGGAGGATGGACACCCCAGTGACTGGTGACCTGGTGACCCGGAGTCCCAGCTCAGGAGTCACAGCTGGTTCTGGCCAGTCGGAGGACAATGGGCTGCGAAGAGAGGACCCTGGTGACCTAACTAGCCGGTTCCAGCCAGAGGGGCCAGAGGACAGATGAGAGGAGAGGAGGACCAGGCGACCCTGTTTACGACCCAGTTTACCTGGAGAGAAGACAATGGACAGAGGCGGGGCTTGGGGCCGGTTATATCAGAGGCCCAGCGGGGAAGCAGGGGGGCTCTGGGCTGGAGAGGGGGAGCAGGCAGAGCCCCCCTGGATGCAGTGGAGACTGGGATGTGCTGTGCTGAGGGAGACCAGATCTGAGGCCCTGAGATTTTCCTGTGCTGTGTTCAAAGCTCAATAAACTGAGCGGCGAATAGCAGAGGCTAACAGCGGGAGTTTGCCTGGGAGTTCGCTTGGGGAGAGCACACTGAGGCTTTCATCTGCAGGTTTCTCAGAGTAGTTCCTGCAACAG